TGAAGAGTGTTTATTCCGAACTTTACTTGCCACTGAAATGTTCTTAGTTCTCTTGCATCACCGTTGAATTTGCGCGACCTTAAATGTGGCAATAAAACCGGTACTTTCGAACGAAAGTAACTGCTCACAATTGAAAAAATAATGGAAAGCAGCTTGAAAGTTAATTCTCCCTAATAAAGGATTACTGTTTATTTTGTTCAACACACGTATTCTAAATAGCTTATCTTTTTTCATCCGGTAAATAAGCCGAATAATGAAAATTTTATAGCTTCAATAGATTGATAAATAATGTGATTACAAACTACCGACGTAATATCCCTCATCTTGAGGAACCAAAATATATCCTTAAGAAGCATAGAAGTTGATCTTGAGGAGTACTGCTCGTTGAATAAACGTTTCGTGGAACACCATGCCCAAACGGGATGAAACATCTAGTTGAACCCGAGAGACAACTTATTGGAAAGTCACATAAATCCGACGACTCGGTGTCTAACTTTTGCAAGTACTTCAATGTGAACATAGGCCAGCTTTATCGCATACCTAACGGAACTTCTCTTTCAAGACATAAACCCAGAAGGAGAAAACCGATCATATCGAAATAACACAACGGTTGAGTTCGAAAACAGCCGAAAACAATGGCAAATAACCAGTATGGAGGATATTCCGGTTGGGGGAAGATCATCCGTTAACCTAGTTTTCCAGTGAATTTCGTTTCGGCTGTAAAAAGAAGTAAATTTCCATCCCAACTTGTGAGTCGCAGGGGAGCAAAATACTAAGCGCTTCGTTGTGGGTCTCCCATACGTTCCATTCTGGATATTGCGAAATTTGTTGCACAACAGAGACAGGTTTTGGATTACGGTTACTCCCGAAATACATTCACAGAAGTGATATTTTCCCAGATTAAGGTTGGTATAGCATACCGCTCGAGGTTGGTCGTAGAAAACGTTTTTCATTTTCCATCAACATTTGGGTCGACGGATTCGCACCGCTAATGAGACCGAACCGGATCGATACAGCTGCCCAATGCTTTCTAGCCTCACGTTTTATTAGGTCTACGCCATCACGAAGAGACTGCATCTCGACGTGGTGTGATGGTTTGTGCACCTTTGTGACCCAANACCCAACGAGTTAGACAGGAAGGCTTCCACTAAGTCAGGAGACCTTACCACGCCTGGAAAGTCGAATGGTAGAGGCCAGAGAAAGTTCAGTCTTCTGGTCCTCCAGGTTAGGGGTTCCACTCCAGTTAGCAACTCGGTCGGTAAAGTGATACAGGACTAATCGATCCCAGTTCATTTATCTCTGCATCGCTTTATCCGCTGCCGTGCGGTTTGTTTCTTTTTAGAACTAAACGCTATGGTTGAGAACCCTAATCGTTTTCCTGCTAATGGTTAAAAAACCTAACAATACTGTCCATCAAACTCTAATGCATACGCCTCGAAAAGCGTCAGTATAGTCGGAGTGGGTGACTAGGGTTACGGTTGGTTACCCTGCCCCTGCACCTCGTGAAATGCTTTCATACGACCAAGCGTCTGGAATAGCCCCTGTTGAGGAAGTCCTACTCACTGCCTTCTCGTGGCGAAGGTGTTTCCCCACCAAAATGAGAGGACGAAAAGCCGACATCAGGGACTATAACCGGCTTGATGGTAGTTCAATTAAGGGAGTTGATCAGAAACGCTGATACCAAACCAACCATGAGGAGGCGTACGAACCACACACACAGCATTTCGGTTGTGGCAGTGGTCACCGGCTCGATTGGGCATTGAGGTGTATTGGGTACCTTGCACGTCTGACCCCGTCCGAAGGGCGTATGATCCGATGAACTGGACACCGACTCTCAATGGACTGCGGTTTTCACACACCACCCCGCTGCCTTGTGGGTCAGGCTTTGGCTAGCCGAAGGCTCCGGTTGTGAATTCCTCAAGAAAATTCACCTGCCTTGGCCTGGGCAACCTGGTATTTTTTAGCCCACAAGGCAATCATGGATCTTTTTTCTTTTTTATAAACATGATTGTCCCATGATTAGCCTGATCCACAGTCTGTCCTCAGACAAGTGTGAAAAATAATGATAATATAATTATGTTAATGAGTGCTCATGATTCCTTAGTGTGTACGCCAGAAAGCACCTATTCGGTGTACTTAAGAACCCAAAGAGTCTTAAAAAAGTGTCGTTCTCACTGCAAAGTGTCCTCGAATATTTGCATTTCTGTTTTGTCGTATGACTACTATTCCCATTTATTTTAAAATGTCCCATTTATACGCAACATCCTCGAACTTTTAGACGTTGACCTCGGAGTGCTGGGAAATGTGTTCGGTTTGTTAAAATTGCCCCGAATGCCCGAGCTTCAAGATTCCAATACGAGTGCTTTTAATGCACCACCGATAGATGTCAATAAATTGAAGTATCGGTAAGTCATTATCTACCGCATAGTTTGGCCCCGATTATTTGGAGATCTTAATTGTTTGCTTGTGACACAAATTCACGCTTTTTATACGGTTAACTGTAATGGTTGACGAAATGAGGGGTTGGCACTCGCACAAGAACACGATATGCAGACCGTTGTATCCTTGAATTCGCGTGTTCAATGGTAGAGAATATCTCTGTATGGATAACGTTATTTGCCAAATGGACGCTAACTGCTATTTCTTCAATGGATGCGCTGTGTTGAACTTTATGACTTCCTGCTTTGGATACTCCAAATAGCATACTTGTGTATTTCGGGAAAATTGATCGAGATGCAAAATCTCGACAGAACTAACAACAACTAACAACTCTTCCCCTGGATATATATATATATACCACGTTGATGTGGGTCGCGGGTGAAACGAAAACAGTCGGCACGATCAATAGTCTCACTGGGTCAACTCAAACGTGGCACACTTGGTAAGAAAAGGAGAATGGCACGAATCACGAGGTAATGGAGGATAACGGTGAAATTGAATACGTATATCTCAATATGAATAAGGTTAGTTGGGTGGGGTAGTGAACTAGATTTGACACTCCATTCTTTTTATACTCCTCCTCCAGTGGGTTTGGATATAGGATTTACTAGCTCACTCGGATGTTCTATCTGTGCATTGAACTTAATCTTATATCCGCTCAAAAACATAGAAAGCACCATTTTCCTTTATCTCCAGCAGCGTATAACGTCAAACTGTTGGAGGAAGTCACTATCCGGCTGTTCAATATTCGTTCGGTTTACACCGGTAGATATCTTGGTCATCACGAAAGTGTTTCTTCAATGAATGCAATAAGGAACTCTTCTTGCAATGTCTGAACCAAAAGAATTTTTGTCTTCATTTTCGCTTCTGAGAATAATGGAGAACTTGGTTTGTTTATATGATGAATTCGTCATTTAAATGAGGCGCGAGCTGAAAATCTGGGAAGCACTAGACAGCTGTTTCCTCCTGGTTCGGTCTCATCAGCAGTGCGACTCCATCGACCCAACTGTGGAACGAACTCGGGACCTCACAGGTAGAACACTACTATACTCGGCACTCGGTCACGCGGCAGCTATTCAGATCGTNTCTCATTTTAAACTTACGCGATATATCACAACCCATCTTTGTGAACCTGTTGCGAGTATCGGTTGTGGCTCATCTCAGTATTAGCCTCTCGGTTTATGACTCGGTTGGAAACTTTCACAACCTCACTACTTTTTTATATGTGAGTAATGGAGGATTTGATTCAGTTTCAGCTCACTTCTCATCTATACGACAAATTCATCATATTTTCGCTTTTGCTCGCCGATACATTGAGTTAAACCTAATTTTCAAAATTTTTTCCTCATTCTTTGTAATCCATTGCTTCAAAATTGCATTGGAAGTATAATTGGTTGGTGATAAACGTGGTGTTAATTCGTCCCATAAGTACATTTACTCCTGAATTTTTAATTCAACCACTAATCAGCTTCGCTTTTTGTGTTTGCCCACCAGAGAGAAAAGCGTTGCAAAACAACGTGAACTAATGAAAGCGAATAAAGAGGCACAACCGAAAGTTCACAGGAAGGTAGTCTTCGAACGTCCCTTTTTCATTTTTTAATCAATGAATCCACTGCTATCTTTCGCGTTGCTCCCATTCGCGCATTATTCAATTTGATTTGGTGAAATTGCGCTTTGCATGCAGATTTATTCAACATGCTCCTCGATGTGCGATATCATACCCCAGTTCTTTGCACTTGATTCCTAAACCACTAAGTTGGCACAATCCAGAACCCCATAACAAAAAAAACCATGCACGACATACGGGACAGGCAAAAACATAATCAACTCAAATTTACATAATCTTACCTTATGATAAATCTGCGTATACGACCTTCTTAAAAATCAAGATTTGTGGCTGAACAGTTGTGCTCCCTACATTACATTCTGTACCCGTTACATTCTTACGTCTCTCAAGCACTCATCGCAGCCGATTACATTCACGTGACATCACACTCCACCTTGATCAGATGTGAGTGACTGGTCAAAAGATCCTTACGCCAGAGTTACATATTGCCTGATTCCAGATATAGTATGTAAACACTATCTTCTGCAATTCAATTTGCCCGACTATCAGCCCTATGGTGACCGAATGTCTTTTCCAATTGCGTCAGTGTCATTCCGCGCTGTCCCGTCGACCTCATTAGAGCCACCAGACCCATGTATTGTAACGTATTATAGCGTTCTAGCAAAATTTGGAGGGGCCCCGTGCAGTACTGACTTCTTGTTAAAGCGCGGGGAAGACAGCTTTGCGATCTACCTCGATCACAACCCAAATCCCAAGGTACACCTTCACCGGTTATCTTGCCAGTAGGCGTACGTATCAGTGTGTGTTCATACCCCTGCTTGAAAAATCATATCCGGCGATGTTCCGCTAACACCAATCCATCATGCTCCATCGACGCTTGAGCTGTCGTTTATGCCTATCGCACAATGCTGCAGTAAGACTCATCACACACATCAAAGGCATCACAACACTTCAACATTATTTCAATTTTGTTTCAACTTTTATAGCCACTAGCCATTCATTTTCGCGCGCCGGTTTTGTTTTTTTGCTGTGTTTTGGCTACCCATTTAATTAAAAGAGCAGAATCAAAGGGAAAACAGAGAACTCATGTAGACTGGGGTTGCAGAACTAATGAGTGAATGCACGAGTGGCACTGTTTGCGATACCCAGCCATATAACTCACTGTTTCTAACCGCCGGTTACCGTGATCTCGGGGTCCCCATCTAGAGCACCTAACGGGACTTATGTGACTCAGTGTCCTGGTTAGGGTTTTCATACCCTCATGTCAGGTGTTGGTTTGACCGCCCTTGACCTTTTTCCACCCAATACCTGCCTCAGTGAACATCGCTGACCGCAGCAGCCTTTTTGGTGACATGCGTAACACATGTCCCAACCATCATAATGGAGATCAACGCGAAATAAATCGCCATGCTAATACTCTTTCGTTTTACGTTCATGACAGTTTTAGTTCAAGTAAACTCATCGCAGAACATATCATTGCAGTATAATTAATTATTTGATCCTTTCAAGCCGAACTTTAATCGTTAGCATATATATATATATATGATTGTTAATGAAAGTAGATTGGATGTTTTCCAATACAATACTTGGTAGTCTTCTCTAGCATATTTGTATTCAATCATATTTTCTTTCCCAGAATAAACCGTGGTCAAAAGCCAAAGACGCTCGTCAAAAAAAACTTGAAAAACGACAAAAACGGTTGAACAAAGCCACTGTTGCCAAGCAGGAACCAACCGATCAATCCAGTAAAGATACCTGTGCAAGTGGTCGTGATGATGACATGAACGATATTGATGAACTGAATGAGGATTATCGATTGTTAAAACGCGCTCGTAAGCGAAAGGTAATTTTAATGTTTTTGTTCGCTAGCTGCCTGTGATTCATTCTCCGTTATGACCAGAATAACGTCCTAATACTACTACCAACCAGGAGTCGATTATTTCATCATCTCTCATCCTCTAAATACGTTTCTGTACCAGGCTGTGGGAGGATTCCCGCAACATACTAATAAATTTAGGATCTTTTGTCACCAAAAGCCTCTATAT